AATAATCAATACTAAAATATGCATATTGTTGTAAATAGTAATGTCCTTTAATTTACGAACATATGTTATTAGCAGCAGTGTTGTTATTTAGCCCATAACATTTGAGAACGTTCCCTGATAAATTCAGTGTTAGTTCAAGAGACACAGAGTATTTAAAACTAAACAAGCTTACCTTATTTTAAAAAATACTTTGGATACTGAATTGCTGTTTGGCAGTTTGTTCCAATAGTCGTGTTTTAATGACATGAATAATAAAATAAGTCAGAAAACAAATAAGACTCACACCTCCAAAAGATAATTTTAAAATCATATAAATGTAGGGATGGGTGGGACCTCAAAATGTCATCTAGTCCATCTCCCCCATGCTGAGGCAGGATCACATATACCTGGACCATCCCTGACAGGTGTTTGTCTAATTTGTTTTTAACCTCCAGTGACAAGGATTCCACAACCTCTCGGTAACCTTTTCAAGTATCTAACTATCCTTATAGTTAGAAAGTTTTTTTCCTTATATCTAATCTAAATCTCCTTTGCTGCAGTTTAAACCAATTTCTTCTTGCCAAATCTTCAGTGGAAATGGAGAACACTTAATCACTGTCCTCTTTATAACAGCCCTTAACATACTTGACAACTGTTATCAGGTCCCCTCTCAGTGTTCTTTTCTCAAGACTAAACATACCTAGTTGTTTTTTAACCTTTCCTCATAGGTCAAGTTTCTAAACCTTTTTTGTCATTTATGTTGTTGTCCTCTGGACTTTCTCCAGTTCCTCCACATCTGTCTTAAAGTGTGGTGCCTAGAACTGGCACAGTATTCCAACTGAGGCTTCTCAAATAACATATTGAACTGCACTTCGCAGGAAACATTTATACTGAGTAGTGTAATGACTTCAGTTTATTATTCATTTATTGTGATGTTATGTTTAATTAACATGTCATGTCATTGTATGTTAAATAGAGTTAAGTTGTAGGATTATAGAAGTATAAGATTGATCAGTTAGAAGGGATAATTATTAGGGCTGTCAAGCGACTAAAAAAATTAATCACACTATTAATAATAGTATACCATTTATTTAAATATTTTTGATGTCTACATTTTCAAATATATTGATTTCAATTACAGCACAGAATAAAAAGTGTACAGTGCTCACTTTATTTTTTATTACAAATATTTGCACTATAAAAAACAAAAGAAATAGTATTTTTCAATTAACCTAATATAAGTACTGTAGTGCAATCTCTTTATCATAAAAGTTGAACTTAAAAATGTAGAATTATGTACCAAAAAACCTGCACTCAAATTCAAATAATGTAAAACTTTAGACCCTACAAGTCTAATCAGTCCTATTTCTTGTTCAGCAAATCGCTCAGACAAACAAGTTTGTTTACATTTGCAGAAGATAATGCTGCCTGCTTCTTGTTTACAGTGTCGCCTGAAAGTGAGAACAGGCATTCTCATGGCACTGTTGTAGCCAGCATCACAAGATATTTACATGCCAGATGCGCTAACGATTCATATGTCCCTTCATGCTTCAACCACCATTCCAGAGGACATGCGTCCATGCTGATGATGGATTCTGCTCGATAACGAGCCGAGCAGTGTGGACCGATGCATGTTCATTTTCATCATCAGAGTCAGATGCCACCAGGAGAAGGTTGATTTTCTTTTTTGGTGGTTTGGGTTCTGTAGTTTCCACATCAGAGTGTTGCTCTTTTAAGACTTCTGAAAGCATGCTCCGCGCCTCATCCCTCTCAGATTTTGGAAGGCACTTCAGATTCTTAAACCTTGGGTCGAGTGCTATAGCTATCTTTAGAAATTTCACATTGGTACCTTCTTTGCATTTTGTCAAATTTGCAGTGAAAGTGTTCTTAAAACGAACAACATGTGCTGAGTCATCATCCAACACAGCTATAACATGAAATATATGGCAGAATGCAGGTAAAACAGAGCAGTAGACATACAATTCTCCCCCAAGGAGTTCAGTCGCAAATTTAATTAACACATTATTTTTTTAATGAGCGTCATCAGCATGGAAGCATGTCCTCTGGAATGATGGCCGAAGCATGAAGAGGCATAGGAATCTTTAGCGCGTCTGGCACATAAATACCTTGCAACACTGGCTACAACAGTGCCATGCCAACACCTGTTCTCACTGAGTGTGTAACACAGTGTTCTAGGACAGCACAGTGTTCAGGTTGAAGTAGAAGATAATGGTTTCCATAGGGACAATAGGAAAGTTCCTCCGTAGGATATTTTGTGAAAAATAAAAGATAACCCCCTGGTTCATTTAGTACAAACTGGTCCATTCCAATGATAGAACAAAAAATTGTTCTTCAGCCCTATTGTTTTAAGATGATATGAAGTAAAAGAATCTCTGACATTCTTATAAAATGAAAAAATGAGTCCCATTGGATTTGTATCCAGTGACTTCCACTAATGTTCATTGCAAATATCCAGTATTCCTTACTGAACTCCATAACTGAGAGGCTATAGCAAAAAACTATTGTACGTTATTATTTGTAATATAAATAATGGATATATTCTAAGTAGAAAATTATAAAATTACTGTTACATTATTTTAGAATATAATAAGAGAAGAATTCCTACCTGAAAAACCTGAGCAAGATTATATTACTATTTAGTCTGGCTATTGTTCAGGATTATTACAATGGAACTGTTATATTTTAAAAGTAGGTGCTCTGTTTATAAAATGCCTTAGTACCTACTGTACCATACCAATAATATGTACCATTGTTTAATTTTAAAGTTCCCTGTGAAGTAAAATGCCAATTATTGTAGCATTATATGGGACATCAAAGGTGAGAATGCCAGTTCCTGCAGTGCAGTGTGATTTGAATGGCAGGGACTAATAATAGTTCAAGCAAGTATTAGCTTTCTCTGTTGAAGCCTGAGTATATGATCTCCGCAACACACCTAAACTCAGTTCAAAGTAACTGCTGGATAAGTATGACCAGTAGCATTGTGCTATTAGGATAAGTCATTTTATGTTAAGCTGTTGATTTTAATAATAGTGCTCTAGAGATTCCTGATTCAGGCTCTCACTCCCAGTGCCAGGTCTGGCAGCACTGACCCTGAGGAAGGGATTAACCCCCTTGTTACTCATCTGTGATCTCACAGAAGACAAAGGTACCTATCAACTAATGACCATGGACTGCCTCTTCAGGAAGCCGGCCAGTTTGGACCAGCTGGAGAACAAAAAACTAAGGTGGCTAGCCAGTTGACAAGTTTGCCCAGGAAGAAGAACAAAGGACTGAGGAGGGGCCAGGTGGGGGATTGTATAGTGTGGGTTGCTGGAAGCGGAGACACTTCTCGACTGTGGGCTGAGAGAGAGCCCTGGGCTCTGTACAGACCCAGCTGGACTTCGCTGTAGCTTCCTGTTTCCTATGCTAACCTAAGGGCTTCCTACGCTATGTTCCGTATATCTTTAAAAACAAACCAAAAAACAAAACAAAACTGTTTTTACAATGCTGGCTGAGAGTCGCTCCAGATTAAGTTGGGGTGCATTGCTCCCTTCGTGTGTAACTCTCTCCCATGTGTCCAATTCAGGTGGACTTGCTGAGGGGATCTCACGGTGTGAAGGAAGGGTGCTGAAGGCTCTGAGGTTCAGTCCCCAGAGCCAGTGAAGCCACAGGACTTACCACAGAGAAAGCGTGCAACCCTTGAGGATTGACCTCTGAAGGCAGTTCTCCTGGGGGCTATTACAGAGCTGTTTGAGAGCACCGGGCCTGTAGGATCCATGATACCTGGTAAGAAGCATTTGAATAAACTACCAATGAAATTATCCTCACACTCTAAACCAAATTGCAACAATCCTAGATTAAGGCAGAACAAGATACTAAATATCACAAATGCTTCATTAAACTGAATCAAATACCAAGCTGAGGAATGCTGATTTGGAACCGGTGGATATAAAGGCAAAGGGCCTGATTCTGATCTCTCATTGGTTTTACATTTGTATAACTCCCTTCACTTCAATGGGTTTATTCTGGATTTACACAAGTGTGAATGCAAGATCAAATTCTGATCTCTGTTGCACTAGTGTAAACCTTCAGTAACTCTACTGAAATAATTGAATTTATTCTACATTTATGCTGGTGTAGCTGAGAGCATAATCTGGCCTGAAAGCTCTATGGAACTCTTTGGACACGCTGGGCCTGGTTCTTAAATCAGGAATAACTCAACTGAAGTCAGTGGCTTTATATTGGAATAAAATCAGTGTAAATGCAATTAAAATAAAATCCTGAAATTCTCTGACCAGAAAACACTCAAGGAGCCAATTTTGCAATGCACTTGAGTACTACCTCAGCAGATCAGGGCAAATATATTAAGGTTGAAATGCTAAATGTATGTAAATCAGGAAATCCATATTCATTGTTCCTACAGCAATCATAACTTGTCTCACTAGTATTTTCCATTACTTCATTTGGTGTTATCTTCATTACTTTATGTCAGCATTGCAAAGCTCTGCACAGGCTTTTATAATAGGGCCGGAACCTGCAAACCCTTACTTGCACGTTAGTAAAGACTAATCTAATTATTCTTGTTGAGATCAAAGAGTTACTGAATATTCATGATAATTTTGAAAGCTGATAAATATATATATATATAACATTGCTAAAAGATTTGAGAGAAATCAGACTGGTAGGAGAGAGTTTCTTCTTCCAGTGTTTATTATTATATGTTTTTGTAATTTATGGCAGGGGAGCTAAAACCTTGGGCAGTGCCCTGTTTTTATTTTTTTATAACTCTAAATAAATTAATAACATAACTTTAAATGTCCTTGCCTTTTTAGAATTAAAATCTCAAGTATCATGTTACATTAACATACTATAATGTATTTAATTTAATTGCTTTTAAATAAAAACTATTGAGCATACAAACTACCTATTTTTTATTTCATCATGTATATTCACGTAACATGACAATATATTCTTATTTACAGAAATGATAATCTATGACAAACCAATGACCACACATGAAACCACTCAGCAGTTATTTTTATTTTATCACAAGTACATGAGATCACACTTTCAAATATGTTTTTATTTTGATGTGTGATCTTTGAAATAGCACACAAAAACAAGATGTTTACCAGGATAACTATTCTTGCACACTTACATGAGCAAGAAAAATTACAGAGATGTATGCTATATTTTCACTCATTTATAATGTATTTCTCAACCATTTTATTATAAAATAGCAAAGCATGACATCCTCAAAGATGCCTAATCAGATTTCAGATTTCAAAATAGAACAATTTTTGAGTATTCCACATTTAAAAAGTGTCTAAAAACTGTTAATTAGTGAAAATTTTTCAAAAATGGATAGTTGGAATTTTACTTATTTCTCCAAAATTATTCACTTTCAGGATTACAACAAGCTATAAGTAACAGTAAGGTATTCTATAGTGATGGCCCAAAACAATGTAGAGACATTAATGAAAGATGTGGTTTGGACCACAGTAATAATGATTATATGGTGTAGTGCTGATGCAAGCATCTGGGTAACAAAAGGAGTAGGAGCAAAGAAGATGCTTAGAATGGGTAAAATTTATCACACAGAAAAACATCATTTTTTTCTTAGGGCCACACTTGCTAAAATCCCTTAACAGCCACATATCAGTCCCATATTAAAAAAACATTTAATTTTATAAGGCAGAATATTATTTTCAATGTGTTTGCCCTATAACCCAGTTCTTCTCAAACTTTTTTATACTGGGAAACATTTTTAAAGATTGAGATTTTCTTGTGGACACTTTCCCTCCTGGGCCCACATCTCTTCTGCAGTAACTAGACTCCTTGGGTACACAGAAAAGTAATAACAGAGCAATACTAAAGACAACATAATGAAAACAAACTCAAATCACTGAAATGGATATGATTGTTTGGTTATGCTCCTCAATTATGTATCTATGCTGGTTATTTCTTTTCTCTGGACATCACAGTTGTTAATAGTAAACCTCCCATAATTTCCTGAAAACTCCACTGCTCTAATCTCTCCAGGTCAGTTTGCAGTTTGATTTTGTCCTCTTACATGTTTGCTACTTCACCAAAATGGGGTGAGGTTCTTGCCTCAAAAATCTAAGTATGATTGAATTTACACAAATAGAAGCATCTAATACAAAGTTAGAAAGCAGCCTTGTTCTGAGTTACCTATATAAAAAAGGCTTTATCAACCTTTAGACAGGAAGCATCAATGTTTAAGACTGACCAGTTACTCCACCAGGATAAAAGCAGCAGTTTCATGGGTCATTTAGAAGTGTTCTGGGAGAATTACAGTAGTCCATGGATCTCAGTGTGATAATCAAGTTAATTCCAGAGAGAATGACTCTAAGTGCTTGAGGATCCAGGTACCACCCCCTGTTCCTAGAACAGAAATGGACATAAGGCTTGAAGTAGGTGTCATTTTCAAAATCTTGGAAGAGTGTAGACTCTTTCTTAAATATTTGCTTGAGCCACAGCTCTTCCCCCTAAAGAGGCAGGCACACAATTGTATTTTTGGCTTTACTATTCTGATGGTCTTGTAAAATGAATAAGCCAAGTCTCAGCATCATACCTGACCTCCTACAGAGGGCTTCTTATACCATTCCCAGAATCCTCCCAGCTCTTGCTGCAAGGGCCCTAGGGTGACCAGATAGCAAGTACAAAAAATTGGAACACTTTTTTGGAGGGAGGCATAGTTGCCTATATAAGATGAAGCCCCTAATATTGGGAGTCTGGTCATCCTAAAGGGACCTCATGTTCCATTCTCAGAGGAGCCTCTTATATGCACCATGCACCTAGCCTTCTCCAGAGTCTTGACTTTCTCCTGACCCCATTCTCTGAAGATCATACAGGAGTCCAAGATAAATTGTGATCACATAAAACAAGCTCTATTTTGTTTCTTGGAGACATCAGGACTTAATTTACTTAAGAGTCACTCACTGCAGAGCAGAAGTGTCAAACACATTGCCCTTTTGACACATTTGGGAATGCAGTGGCAGAGTCAGATTCTCCCAAATCTAAACTGTTTTTTAAATAAGATTTCTAGTCCTCATGGTTATCAAAAAGGTAGGCTTCCAAAAGTGTTGTTTGCCTTGGTCTGCAGACAGCCTGAAATAATAGTCCTGATGTGTGAACTTCCATCATAGAATTGTAGGACTGGAAGGACCTCCAGAGAGGTCTAGTCCAGTCCCATACATTCATTGCAGCACTAAGTATTACCTAGACCCTCACTGGCATGTGTTTGTCCAACCTGCTCTTAAAAATCTTCAATTATGGAGATTCCACAACCTCCCTAGGTAATTTATACCAGTGTTTAAGTACCCTGACAAATTGTAACCTAAACTGCCCTTGCTGCAATTTAAGCCCATTGCTTCTTGTCCTATCTTCAGAGGCTAAGGAGAACATTTTTTTCCCTCCTCTTTGTAACAACCTCTTATGTACTTGAAAACTGTTATCATGTTCCCTCTCAATCTTTTCTTCACCCAACTAAACAAACCCAATTTTTTCAGTCTTCCCTCATAGGTCATGTTCTCTAGACCTTTATTCATTTTTGTTGCTCTTTGCTGGACTTTCTGCAATTTGTCCACGCCTATTCTCATTCAGGAGCTAATTATAAAGTTAATAATGTCACCTTTAACTTTTTAATTGCTGAGCAGTGGTAGGAATGGGGAGGGGGTCAGACATGGCCCAGGGGGAATGGGAATTGAGAGCCACGGAAGGACTAAGGCCATGCAAGGATCAGGAGCCACAGAGCCATTGTCACAGCAAGCAAGATAGGGTTTCCACCTGTTTTTTTAACGGAACAGCTGGTCGAAAAGGGACCCTGGCAGCTCCGATCAGGACTGCAGACTGGGCCATTAAAAGTCCAGTTGGCACAGGGCTAGCAGGCTCCCTACCCGGCTCTGCGTGGCTCTCAGGAAGCGGTGGGCGTGTCCCTCTGGTTCCTAGGCATAGGGGTAGCCACTGGGACGCCATGTGCTGCCCCCGCCCCGAGCGCTGGCTCCACAACTCCCATTGGCCGGGAACTGCAGCCAATGGAGGCTGCAGGAGCCACGCCACCTGGCCACGCCTCTGCCTAGGAGCCAGAGGGACATGGTGGCCACTTCCCAGAAGCCACCTGAGGTAAGCGCCACCCAGAGTCTGCACCCCAAATCCCCAGCCAAGCCCCCTTCTGCACCCAAACTACCTCCTGGAGCCTGTGCCCAGCACCCCCTCCTATGGCCTTACCCCCGCTCAGAACACCCTCCCACATGCTGAATGCCTTCGCCCCAGCTCAGAGCCCCCTCCTGCACCCCAAACCCTTCATCTCCAGCCTCACCCCCCTCCTGCACCTCAACCTAGTGAAAATGAGTGAGGATGGGGGAGCTGGAGTTAGCAGGGGGTGGGGCCTTGGGGAAAGAGCAGGACTTCACGGCAGAACAAGGGTGTTGTTGCAATTTTTTGTGCAATTAGAAAGTTAGCAACCCTAACCAAGATGTTTCTGAATCAGGGGGTAGCAGTGTTAGTCTGTATCCACCAAACAGGGAGTCTGGTGGCACCTTAAAGACTAAGAGATTTATTTGAGCATAAGCTTTTGTGGGTAAAAATCCCACTTCTTCAGATGCATGGAGTGGAAAATACAGATGCAGGCATTGTATACTGACACATGAAGTGAAGGGAGTTACTTCACAAGTGGAAAACCAGCGTTGACAGGGACAATTCGATCAGGCTGGATGTAGTCCACATCCAGTAATTGATGAGCAGGTGTCAATTCCAGGAGAGGAAAAGCTGCTTTTGTAGTGAGCCAGCCACTCCCAGGCCCTATTCAACCCCAAATTAATGGTGTTAAATTTGCAAATTAATTTTAGTTCTGCAGTTTCCCTTTGAAGTCCGTTGCTGAAGATGTGGCTGTACATCCAACAATCCTAGCACAAGCAAGGCAGCGTAACTATGCCCCAGTGTAACTGGGCCAGGTGAACCCAGCTGGGGACACGACTGACCTCCACTCCACCGAGGCGCAAACCTGCCGCGCCTATACAGGACGTACACGGACCCGGAAACACACCCAGGACACAGGGAAACAAACAGGAAGGGGAGGGGCGTTCCTGCCACTCCTCCTCTAGCCGCGCTGGGGTTTGTTTCCCCTTCACGGCGGCTGAGCGGAGGGATACCAGGACGCGGTTAGCCAAACACGAACGCAGATCCGGCCGCAACGGCCATTTTGTGTACACGCACAGACGAACCCCTTCGGGGCGGGGACGAGCGAGCGAGCGATCACGAGCCGGGCACGCAGGAGCATCGAAGGCCCGGCAAGACCCTTCGCTCTGTGAGCTGCTCCGTAGCCCGCAGAGCGACGGACAAACCGCCCACTGGGCCCTGCCTAATGCACCGGAAGCTCCAGTTTCACACTGCGAAGAGGGAACGACGAGCTCCTGATTGGCGAAGCGGCACCTCTTTGCCCTCCCCGGAACAGGAACGCATGCGCTCTTCCTCTCTTCCCTCCCCACCCCCGCAGCACTAGAAGGCGCATGCGCGCAGCTTGCACGAGTCTGAGCCTGTCCCCCGGACTTCCCCCCCATCAGTCTCGGGAGCGCGTGCGCGGATTCCCAGGCGGCGGCGGTTAGCACGTCCCTCCCCCGGCTCCAGTCGGAGGGGGTGCAGGCGAGGTTCCTCAGTGACCCGCCCCCGGGAGCGGGGGGCGGTGCCTGCTGTCCCCTCCTTTCTTCCTCGGCCTCGCCACCGGCGGCGGGTGTGCAAGGGGGCTGAGCTCGGTTTCTTCCGTGGCGGCGGAGGCTCAGCTCATCGTCTGTTCTCTCCCGGGCGGGACAGGCGGCGGCAGGAGCAGCCAGCGATCTCCGGGGAAGGGGCCGGGCCCGCCCGTCGGGAGGAGGCTCTGGGCGGCTGCGCTCCGTGCGGGCGGGCGCCCCTGGCTGTTTCCGGAGGAAGGAGAGACGCACCTCTCCCCCCTCCCCCCTCAGCGCGAGCGGAGCCCGGAGTCACCGCGGCGCAGAGACAGGCCCGGCGGGCGGCGGCGGCGGCGCGCGCACACACGCACACACACACACAATGGCGCTCAAACGCATCAACAAGGTGAGCGAGGGGCGGGCTGGGGAGACGGCGCTGCTGCCCCCCATCCCCCCTCCCCGACGCCGGGTTGCGCGTCAGGCCCCGGCGGGGGCGAGTCCCTGGGGCGGTGTTGCTGTCGCTCGGGGTTATTGGGTCCCGCACGGACGGGAAGGGGTCAGCGTTGCCTGGTGCGTGCGCGGTGCCCCCGGCTGTGGTGGGGAGTGAGGGGGGCGTCCGGCCGGGGCGGGTGACCCTCGTCTGCGGTGAGGAGCAGGGGGCCTGCCGGGCAGGGGGGTGGCTGATCTCCTTCCGGGGCTCGGGCTGGCTGCGTGGGGAGGGCGGGTGATGTCGCCCGGGAGCCCCTTTTGTCGCAGTCACCGGGAAGGTCGCGGTGGCCCCGCGGGGACGCTGTGGGCTGTCCGGAGGGCCAGGGCAGGGGCTCTAAATGTCAGTGTCACCCGGCGCGGAGATGGTGTCGGCTTCTCGCCTCCATCGCTTCCGCTGCTGCTGTTACTGATTCCCCGGCTGTGCTGTGGCTGTGTTTACATCGCAGGGACAGTCGGTGCTGGGTCGCTCCTTCCCAAGGGGGGAATCCGCCTCCCGGCCCGATTGGTTTCTCTTCCCTGCCGTGTAACTTCTTTCCCGCATTGTAAGATGGCGGCGGGTTTGCCTAGTTCAGGCTCTTTCCGGGTCTCTTGGTTTCTGCAATAACATGACACACACACACGTCCACGCTCCCGTCAAGTCACACTATATAGCAGCAGCTGCTCCTATTCCTCTAGATTTCCCCTTCCCCCTGCAAACCCACTACTTTCATAATGTAGAGGAATGGCTTTTTACCTCATCTCTTGCTTTATTGGGGGCGGAAGACTGTGTGATGTATTGAGAATTTCGTCCTTGCACAATCCAGCAGGGTGGAGTAACTTTACAGCTAACTCAGAAAAAATGTTGGGGTGAAGGCAGTCTAGCCTTTCCTGAGAGGAAGGTTAGTGGCAGAGGGTGGGGTTTAGATAACTTGTAAATCTTAATTTCAGTTGTGACGTTCCTGTGGAACAAAGGTTTAGTGTTATTGTGCAGCATCCACGCTCCCAAACTGTTGGGGTCTTAATGACAAGCATGATTAAAGATAAATAGCTTAAGCTCTAAATTGGTGTTGATCTGTACTTACAAGCATTATGGCATTTTAAATATTTTGAGACTGGATGGATTATTTTTCTCCTGGTCACTTTACAGCTTGCCAACAAGCCAGAAACTCATAGTGCCCTTAAATCATACACTGAAAATGTCAATTTTGGATACAATGATTAGGGTTTGTCATATTTTTTTCTTAAATATTACAGTAACTTGACACTCTTACTGTGGAGGAGGTCTGGTGGCTTGACTTACTAGTTTGGTTATCTAACAGGAGCATAATGTGGTTACTGTGTCTTAATTTATTGCTTGCACTCAAGAATAACACAACTCTTAAATTCAAAACTGTTATAAGTAGGAGAATTGTAGATTTGAATTAAAATGACACTCTTAAAACACTTTCAAAATAGTTTCTGGTAAACCTGCTACCAAAACTTGTTTCCACTGTAACAGTGGATGATATAAAACTTAAATTAAAATGCAGCTGGGAGACTCCCTGGTACGCTTTGTCACCAACTCATGCAAGTGAAATGCATCCTGAACTCAGACTTCTGTAGGGCCGAGGAATTTGTCAAGCATAAATCAAGACAAACTTTCAGATGCATAGTCTATACTTAACCTGATATTTTACTTGGAGCCTTAGCACATTTTTAAAAGTAATTTTGTACCAAGAAGTCTATTTAGATTGTAAGATCTTTGGGGTGTAGGGACTGTCTACAGTGCTTAACAAAATGGGGCTGCATTCTTAGATGGTTTTTAGGCACTGTTGTAATAAACATGACTAATAATACAAGTATGTCCAGGGGTTAAAATCTTTCTTGTCCAGGGTTAGTGGTTGGAAATGGTAACAATTTTTGACTAGTGTAGCCAAACCAGGCTGCAAGTATGCCTCAGTTTGTTCTGTTTACAGTTGTGACTTGATTTTCAGCAGTTGTCATCTGAGACAATTATAGTTAGATTAATCCTTTATCTGTAATTTGGGATTTTGAGGTGCTTTCTAGTGCTCTCAGGAGAATTGATGCTAAAATCGAAGCATAAGAAAATAAAATCATAAACAAATGAGGTGAATTTAAGATCTGTCTCACCAGTGACAAAGCAGCCGTCTCTAGCTTTAGTGGTTGAAGAGCTGGGATCCCCAGCTTTTAAATGGCAAGATCATCCAGACATCAGATTCTAGATTTTTGTGGTGCAACAGATCAGACTTTGAAACTCCATGCTTCCTTATAGTATGTGCTTGGCACTAGTCCAGGGCTGCAAAATGCAAGTCCAGGACCTCAGAGCACTGTAATTGTATATACCTGATTCAGTCTAACTTGTAAGTCTGTAGAAATTTTACGTGCCAAGGTCAGAGTTCATTGTCTTCAGCAGATGACAGCACAAACACCCAAAGGGGAGGCATTTTCTTTCAATCCCTGATCTGTTTTGATTCCTTTGTTATGGACCATGCTCTTTGAAGTGAACCAAAACATTAAACTTGGGGCTTGGCAGGTAAGTAAAAATTGACTTTCAGGTCTAGCTAATGTATAGAAATTAGTTCCAAGAAGTTGGGATTCAGGATAAGACTACTTTTTTTAAAATTTATTTACAAAGGCTATCTAATATGGACTTGGCACTTCATCAACCATTTTGAAGCTGCATTTTAGAATAGCTGACAACATTGGGCTATGTATTTTGGGGTAACTTTTTAGGAAGGAATCTTCAAGTCATTGAGTCTTCAGTTTTAACCTTGAAACTACTGATTTCTTGTTTGAGGGTTAAATTAACATTAAAACAGAATACTGACTTTTGGTATTTGGGAAGAAATAGATGAAAATGTTATAACTGACCGCATTAATTTTTCACACTTATTTATATAAGCACATTACATTACTACCAATGTACTGTAGGTACGAGGCAGCTTTCAGTTTAGTGGCAATTTGAGATTATTTCCCAATGCAAAATACTTTGTCAGTTTCTGCCCAAAGAAGTGGGATGGTATTGATCTAATGCAGGGGTGGCTAACCTGTGGCTCCAGAGCCACATGCAGCTCTTCAGAAGTTAATATGCGGCTCCTTGTATAGGCACCGACTCCGGGGCTGGAGTTACAGGCGACAACTTTCCAGTGGGCCAGGGGTATTCACTGCTCAACCTCTGGCTCTGCCACAGGCACTGACCCCACTCCACCCCTTCCCGCCCCCTCCCCATAGCCTGTCATGCCCTCGCTCCTCCCCCTCCCTCCCAGAGTCTCCTGCATGCTAGAAAACAGCTGATCAGTAGGTGTGGGGAGAGAGAGGGAGGTGCTGATCAGCGGAGCTGCTGGTGGGTGAAAGGGGAAGCTGATGTGGGGCTGCTGTCGTATTACTGTGGCTCTTTGGCAATGTATGTTGGTAAATTCCAACTCCTCCTCAGGCTCAGGGTGGCCACCCCGATCTAATGGGAATCTGACTACATCAAACCATTTTAATGGCAACTACTCTTAAAATAAGGAAATTGAAACGTTTATAATCTGTTTGTGCACCATGGGACCAAAGATTCCATAATATTGTGCAGGAAAAGTTTTTTCTTCAGTCTAATAATTTTGGAGAGAGCGCAGGAGCAGGATTAAAAAACTGATTCAAATGGAGGATGTACACTGCATTTAATGCCCAGAGGACACTAGTGAGTGACAGTGTGTTTTTAAAAAAATATATATATATGAAGCAGAATATTTTTCAGATTTGTTGACCACTGATAAAGGGTTAGTAACTTGAAATCATGCTTTAAAAATTAGTCTTGTTCTAGAGCCCCTCTAACATATTTTTGTTCTGTCATTTTCCTAATTTAAGTTTTTATTCTGTTGTGTAGGGTTCTCAAACAGCAAATAAAGGAAAACTGGTTATGCAAGGCAAATAGTGAAATTGACTCTGATAGCACTGTATACATATATGTGGAGTACACAAATTGGGGGAGACGAGATAGAAGTTTTGTCTAATCTTTTAGTTTTAGTAACTTTAGATTTTGTAACAATTCAAACTCAGAAGCAACTACGTGTCCCCTTAAATTAATCAAATGTTTCAACAGAATTTAAACAGATTTTCCCACCTCTAGAACATTCTTACAATAAATTACCTTTCCTGTGCATCAATTGGATTGGTCTTCAGTAAGAAATGCTAAGAAAAATTATACTGAGATGCCACGATGGTTCAATATGTGAAGCTGAAAAAGAGGTCCCGTAGTTCTTAGTTACTTTATTTAGTACCATATAACTATTTGAGGTATTAAAAGTAGTCGCTGAAGTTTCTTAAAATGGCTTCCTTCCAAATAAGGTGAGAATTGCCACTCTATAGCAATCCTTGTTGTCCTGTTTATAGCTTGAGCAATGATTTGCTCTGTTTGCCTTTATCATGTGATTTGGAGGCAAGGTTTTGAGCTTGTTACAGGAATTGGGGAATTTGTGCTCGTTAAAAGGTTGGGCAAATAAGTGGTGTTGTAAGAAAATGGTATTAAGCAGTAGAAGAGATCCTGGAAAAAGCAATTGATAACAATAATCTCTTTGTAGGTCATCTTTGGAGCACAAACTTTGAGGTTGTTTCTTTTTTGCTGCTTTATGACAGAAGTTTGAAAGGTTTTTAGACTTTTTCTCTTCTCATTATTAGCTTTGACATTCCAGCCCTATCTAGGCTGGAAGACTATGGCCATTATGTACACCAGGGATTTTACCAAAAAAAAAAAAAAATTACCTCTGATGTTACCATATTTTCAGCTACATTGGTGGTAATGCCTCTTTTGTAAAATACTTCAGTTCAGAAAAGGCTTATTGCTGGAGAATTAGTGAAAGGGTGCATTGCAAGAGCAAAGAGTGAAAGTTGATAAAGAAGAGGGAAAGGGATTTTCTGTCACTGTTTTTGTTAACAGGTCATTAACTACAGTGGCTA